CCACATCTAAACAGAAAAGCCCAAACCGAAAAAAGAAACAACAACCAACAGAGCAGGCTTGGGTAATATCCCCTGTCCAAATGCTGGGCTGTGCATACGCAGCTGCTGTGTCCTCCTCTGGATATTGTGAACCGTGAGAACCCTGAGGCAAAGAAGACTCCAGTCTGAAATACAGTATTTCTCTGTTAATTTGGGATCATGACAACATAGAAAGGAGAAGTTTAGTAAATCAAAGTTTTTATAACTCCTGCTGCGTCCCTTCTTTGTTCTCCAATACTGTTGTAAATTTCAGTGGCTCTGAGGATGCCTGAAATAAAAATACTGAAAACGTGCAGGTTTTTAATACATTTGTGCAACAGGTGCAGCAAAGGCAATGACCTTGTGAAACTTCTTGCTCTGTGCTGCTCCTGCCTACTACAGAGAATCTCCTCTTTGCATATGAAAGAGCACAAGTATCTCTCTCCCATTGTGCTCAGCCAAAGATGCTGCTGGGTGCGGACATCTCTGCGGTGAGTAGACTTCTCTCTGGCAACCATTGATAGCTGTAGTGCTGTGCTCAATGCAGAGTAGTAGCCATGCCAGTTTCTGAATGTTCTACTTGGCTGGGTATTTGTAATCACGGGGAGTAGTGGAAAGTGCACTGGACTTTTCGCTGCTGCGCTGTGCCTGTGGACTTCAGAAACCTACAGTGAGTTGTGTGAGGATCTGCGGTGATGATCACATTGTAGCTGCCTGTGGGAGAGGCGCTGCTCTGGCACACCTGCGTGTTTCTCCTGAGCAGCAATGGCAAACCTGAGGTACAGGGTTCTTAATCCCTCGTTCCCTCTGCTTTATTTGTGAGCTCCCCTTTCTTTTGCCATTCTCCATCCCATATCTGCATTTTATGCTCATTCCCTTTCAGATTTGGATTCTTTCGCAGCCCTTCAGTTTCCCTCTTGATGTCTCCGTGTGCCACAAGTTCATACATTCCCTTCAATGAAAACAGCCAGCAGATCTTTTCACTCTTCAGGGTTTTGATTTATTAAGCACAGAAACCAGTGTAAAAATCTGCAGAAAAGACTTCTCATTCTTTATAGAAGTCTGCAGAAAGACCACCCATTCTTTATAAACTTTAAAATCTGCGTCAGACATTTGTTCCAGAAACTGTCAGAAAAAATGAGCTAATCCTGGTGATTCATCATTACGGGAAACACCAGTTTGATAAGCCTACCTCTCCTTGGCTCCAGCTGGGCAATAGATTGAAATGGTATTCCTCGCTTAATTTGTGACATTACTGTGTGGAATCAGTATGTGCTCTGCTTGCTTCTGCACTGGGATGCTGTGTTTTCAGGGAAACAAAAATGCACTTCAGAAAGTGCCATATAAAGCAGACTAAAATAAAATGTTGGGTAGGGATCGATACTCAGAATTCTGAGTTAGATTTCTTTACTTTTTAAAGTTTGGTTGGAGAATGTAATTTTTAGACTTTTAAGATTCTTTAATAATGTCTGTATAACTTTTGAGAAGTACTTCCTTTTGTCTGTGATGCCAGAAACTTTTATTATAAGCCTCTTACAAGTATCACCCAGGCCTTAGTATGTGACATTACTTTAAGCCACCAGTGATACAACAAATCATTATTTAAAATGGCTTTAGTCAGGACATAGTAACAGAGTAGTTGGTGCATTGACTGATACATACTCTGAAAATGTGTAGTATTCTATTGCTTCTTTTTGTTTCAAAAATACTTAAATTACTTTAACTCATTCGACTATTTTAAAGACTGACTGAAAGTTCTCTTTTGAGAGAACTGAACTCAGTAATATTTGGCTGAAGCAGATGGGAATATTTGATCCAGCAAACATACATTTTACCAAATTTTGGCAGTGAGCAGCAGCTAGAGTTTCAACTTCATTTGAAAAAATAATCAAAATTAAAAGAAGTAGGTGGGGAAGAGTCATCTTTTAATCCCTGATCTTGCAAAGGATTCTGCTGAGCTTCATGCAGTGCAGTTAATAAGGAACAAATTGTGTTCTCATATAAATTCATGTAGGAATTTAATATACAAACCGAGTTCTTATTTAATAAAGTAAAATACTGTGACCTATAATGTCTTTTTGGCTATTTGAATAAATTTGTTCTGCATTCTCTAAGTCTTGATTTGTGTTATTTTTAGTATATTACACGAATTTTTAAAATTAATAATGATTTTCGAAGTCGAGTTTATATAAACAGAGTAAAAACTACTTTTGGCAGGCTGTGCAGAGTAAATCTTAGTACAAATAATGTAACAAGAAAGAATACAGACGGGCTAAATAATTGATGGTATGATTGTGAAACCTCTCTTGTTCCACAGGAGTAATCCTATAGTTTTAGAGTGTTCTCTAGTAGAAGTAATAGAATTCAAGTAATTCTAAACTTTGTAATCTTGCCCTCAAGGATCATGTTTTCAGTATTATTTACTAGAAGCATGTACCGTGGGAAGATATTTGTGAAGTCTATGACAAGGTAACAGCTGAAGCTAAAAGGTCAACGAATTCCTCAGTTTGGTGTGGGTGATGCCTGCGTCTGCAGACAGCGTAATTGTCTCAGAGTTTGCAAAGGTTAGACAACTTCCCAGCCCTTTCCAGCCTGAAGGCTTGTGTTTTTCAGAGCAGTTCCATGTAAAAACAACAGAACACTCTGCAAAGAACGCAGTCAACTTTTGAAATGCTGCGGATTTTACAATCCCAGAGGTTTTATGCATATATAGTTTGTCTTTGCTGTGTAATCTAAGCCTTCTCTGCACTAGAATTGCTAACTAGGTAGATGTGTAAGCGTTGTTCCTGAAAGCCTGTTATGGATTGGATTCTCAATTAATATCTTGAAGCCATGAATATCTTGAAGGACTGTGTTCCTGGTAATAGAAGTTTACAGCAATGTGAAGTTCGGCAGCAAAATTATTTTACTGCATGACATTTTTGCTGGAAACAACAAAACTGTTTAAATAGGTTGTAAAATGTTAGTTGTTTTCATAGGCATAATGGTTGGTCCTGATTTTTTGCACTTATTTTCATTGCTCACCTGTTCCCTCTGTGATGTTCAGTAGAACTAGAGGAAGATTTTATTACAAGTAGTTAAAATCAGCTAATTTTGTCATGCACCAGTCTTTGCTTGTAGGGATTCTCAGAGACACCGATAGATTTCTTGGCTCTACTTATGACTTAAAGTTACTTAATATATCCTCTCCGTGGATAATTCTTGTTCTTCAGCTTGCCTGAGAGCAGTTTATTTCAAGTCCTCACAGCTTAAAATTAACCCTTGCCTGGACAGAATTTACTGTAAGATGAGCAAGTTCTGAAGTCTTTCTGAAGCTGTGTGAATTTCAGTGGTTTGAAGGCTGTCTTATTCTCTGCTCAGTGCAAGACTAAAGCTACCTGGCTGCGTACATAAAACACAGAATCTGCACTGTGCCTCAGGTGTGTTCTGCTTCCACATTTGAGACACACTTAAAAAAGATGCCTTTTGATATACACATGACATTTTCTGTTTCAGTGACCATTTCTGACTGAATATTCATGTACTTATTAAATAATGAAAACAAAGGCTTTGCAAATATGGCTGAGCTTAAATATTACTGTTATATGAATATTAATATAAAATGTTCTGCACATTTTATCCAACCATCAATAACAAGAGTTCAAAGAATCACAGAATGTGAGGAGTTGGAAGGGACCTGGAAAGCTCCCCCAGTCCAACCCCTGCCGGAGCAGGATCACCAGAGCAGTCACACAGGAACACGGCCAGGGCTTTGGGTGTCTCCACACAAGGAGACTCCACAACCTCTCTGGGCAGCCTGGGCCATGCTCTGCACCCTCACACTGACAAACTTTGTCCTCATCTTCAGCTTGAACCTCCTGTGCTCAGTTATCAGTTGTCTGATAAGCATAACTCTTGGTAGCATAATTTTAAGCAAAGTGATGTTTTATTTACATGTGTCATTACACAAATGTTGTTTGATCTTTTGCACAGAAATTTTAAAAAGCAACATTACAAAATAATAGTACTACAGATAAAAATAAACTTGCTGAAAGAACTGATTCCCTTAAAGATCCATGCCATAGTGCTCTTCTGTCCTTAGAGCACAAATTACTTGTCTTGTTTAGTGCAAGATCTCTTCCAGGTTCTCCATTCTGGTCAGCACTGTACTGTGCTCTTTCCAATTTGTTGTGCTAGAGCCTCTTAAAAATGCATCATCAACCCCTGATGACTTAACTGGAGCTTAAACATCTATTTTGCACTACGTGTCTGGGCTCTGATGTAAGAGAAAGAAAGCACCCTAGTTTTAAGCTGTCTTAAACCAGCCGAAAATTGGACTAGACATGGTGCAGAAACAAAAAAAACTAGAAGTCTGGCTGTGTAAATAATTACAATGGCATTAAAATGTGCCACAGCGATTCTCCGTGACAAGAAAACATGAAAGAATCATGGGATATAGGAGCAGTGAAAAGAATCTCAAGTAAATATGCAAATGTTTAAGAACATTTCATGGTCCATGAGATGTCAGAAGATGGTCTGCGGGATGTCTGCAGACATCCAGCCCTTCACCCTCCCTGCCAGCTCACATTTATTTCTAAAGAGAATCAAGAGAGCAAAGAAAGTGGAAGTAGACCTGTCAGCCTTTAAGCTGATTATTTATTGATCGAAAAGTAAAACAGTGGTGGCAATGTGATTGTTTTTTCTTAAAAGAAGTTACTTATTCCTCCACCTGGAAGAAGTTCATAAATACTGTCTAGAAATGCGCAAGATGATAATTATGAAAGTAGAAGTGGGTGTAGATGATAATTAATCATCTGACAATCAATCAGACTTGATTATAGCTGGGATCTGTGCAAATTTTCATCTGATTTCTGCAGCTCACAAGATAATCACATTATTTGAAGGATGGAGAAATGTTGACTGGCTTGGTAAGGTCAACTGAAAATTATTTTTATAGTTTAGATACACTATTTATTTTTAATTATTCTTTTCTTTTTCTATAGGGATGCCCTCTGCTTCTATATTAGTTTATTTGCTTTTAGCATTACTCGTTCACTTCACATCTGGAGAAACAGAAGTGAAGTTCAGTGGACAAACAGAATTTGTAGTTAATGAAACAAGTACAACTGTTATACGTCTTGTAATTGAGCGGACAGGGAAGCCTGCTAACATCACAGCAATTGTGTCGGTAAGAAACTATGCCAGCTATATTCTTGGTAAATATTAATGTCTTTCTGAAGTTTTGAATGTTATCTGTGTTTTTATTGAGTCAGTGAAAAAAGAGGTGGTATTTCAGTGGGACAGTGCTTCACCGTGAAGAAGCAACACCCAGTTTCTATAACTGAGCAAGTTCCTGCTGGCTGGATTTTCAAAATAATGGTATAACATCTCTGTGAGAACCCAGCTCCTGCTGCTCAGGTAGAAGTCCAAACTGATAAGACTTGTGTGAATTTGGTTGTGGCTGATCATACTGAAACATGAGTTCATATGAATGAGAGTTCATACTGAAAATGTGGATAAAAAACATTTTTTCCTTTTTCAGATTACTTTAGGACGTTCAATTTAAAAGCTGTTCCACTTTTTGACTCAGATTTCTATAGGAATTTTAAAAAATACTCTCTTTAGTTTATAGAGCGATCAGAGTTATTATTTTTACTTTTTTTCCTTTATTTCTTAGCTGCTGTTAACCATGATCTTGATTGTATTGCCTTTAAAAGTTTAAACCCCTTGGAGTATGTCATACCATGTGTGTATGGAGTAAGATGCTGTGTGGTATCAGTACCACATGAGAGCACAGCAGTGTATCGGAGATGTACTGCTTATGGATTTCTACAGTCTGTAGATAAACTATCTATATTTCTGCAGAATATTATATTCTCCTGTTACTAAATATGAAAAAAATATGTCTTAGAAATTACAAGGAATAGAAACAGATATATAGGGACTTCATAATTTGTTAACATCTGAGGACAAAACCTCGAGAAAACAAGATTTTACTTTAAAACTAGTGCTCTTTACTGATGTAATAAGCAGAGTGACTTAGTTTCCTTATTAAGGACCAAAATTTGTTTCTAACATGAGTATTTTGAGAAACTTTTTTTTAGGAAGATGTTTATACCCTGTTTTTGTGGGAGCGTTTTGTTTTTTTAAGTCTAGCGTTGGCTTAGATACTTTAAAAGTAGTTGCCAGTATGACCAAATGATAGGTGAGAGCCAGAAAAATTCCTTCTGTACTTTGTTTCCTCTTCACTGAACTTCTGATTTCAGTGTTCTCAAAGGAAGAACAGCCTTTTTCACGATAGTTCATTCAAACCTTTAGAGCCTATGGGGATGGCAGCTTCAGGTGTAGCAGCCGTGCTCGTTCAGTTGCTTCTCTCCGTTCAGTCTCAGCTTCCAAATGTAAATTTCACCTGGAGACTTTGCTGTCTTGACAATACTGCCTTTGTAATCTCTCCTCTAACCACCTGATTTATGGTAGAATCAGTGAGTTTTTCCTTTTTTTTGACTGAAATTAAGACAGGGATGTTCATTATAGAAGAATTAATCTTGCCAGCTTTAGCAATCAAAATGTTAATCTAGGTTAAAGACCTAGGTCTTTGTAGTCCCTCAGGTGAGATGGGAAGGCAGAGGCATATTACAACTTAATAAGTAAGTTTAATTCAGGGACGATATTATGAGGTATAGAAATCTGTACTAGGAATAGCTTTTCCATTAAAAAACTGGTCATATAGTGCTTCAGGATTTGGTGTGGGTTTGTTTTGTTCTGTTTTATTTTGTTGTTTTTATTTTAGTTACTCAGCCTACATACAAGAGGCTATTATCTATATCTTCTGTCAAGAAATGAACTGTATCACAGCAGGGGAAATTATAGGAAGAATTATGTGCAACAGAGTATATGAAGTCTGTTAAATGAGCAAAGAATAACATTACAAAAGATAGTAGTGGAAGAAGGAGATGGCATTCAGTTGTGCATTTATTGCAGATTGATGGAGAAAACACAGGAGACTTTTTTGACACATATGCAGCTGCATTTATACCCGATACAGAAACAAACCGAACGGTGTATATATCTGTCTGTGATGATGATCTTCCAGAGGCGGATGAGACATTCACATTTTACTTGACATTACCAGTAAGTCTCATGTTTTTCGATTTGTCTGCTCCCCAGAAAGCAGTGTGTAATCTGACATAGACGAATTATATTCCATAGATTTCACTGTATTCATATTGTTTGTGAGTCTGAATCTTATTGGAATCATAGAATGGTTTTGGTTGGAAAAGGCCTGTAAGGTCATCAAGTCCAACCATCAATCCGTATTACTAAGTCCACCACTAGAGCATGTCCCTAAGCACATCTACTCGTTTTTTGAACACCTCCAGGGATGGTGACTCCACCACTTCGACTCAAGCGCCCAGCCACTGCCAGTGCTTGACAACACTTCCAGTAAAGAAATTCCTCTGAATATCCAACCTAAACCTCCCCTGGTGCAACTTGAGGCCATTTCTCATTGTCCTGTCACTAGCTACCAGGGAGAAGAGACTGACCCCCACCTGGCTACCCCCTCCTTTCAGGCAGTTGTAGAGGACAATCAGGTCTCCTCTCAGTCTTCTCCGGACTAAACAACCCCAGGTCCCTCAGCCACTTCTCATAATCCTTGTGCTCCACACCCCTCCCCAGCTCTGTTGCCCTTATCTGTCCACACTCCAGCCCCTCATTATCCCTGTAGTGACGGGCCCAAAACTGAACACAGTATTTGCGCTATGGCCTCACCAGTGCTGAGCACAGGGGAAGGATGAACTACTCCAGAAGGATACTGTGGGAGACGGTGTCAAAGACCTTACTAAAGTCCGGGTAGACAACGTCCACAGCCTTCCCCTTGTCCACCAAGCAGGACACCTTGTCATAAAAGGAGGTAAGATTAGTCAAGCAGGACCTGCCCTTCCTGAACCCGTGCTGACTGGGCCTGATCGCTTGGTTGTCCTGCATGTGCCGTGTGCACTCAGGATGATTTGTTCCATCACCTTCCCTGGCACTGAGGTCAGACTGACAGCTCTGGAGTTCCCTGGGTCTTCCTTCCGGCCCTTCTTGTAGATGGGCATCACATTTGCAAGCCTCCAGTCGACTGGGACCTCCCCAGTCAGCCTGGACTGTTGATAAATAATGGAAAGTGGCTTTTTAAGGACCTCTGCCAGCTCCCTCAGGACCCTGGCGTGGATCCCATCTGGCCCCATAGACTTGTGTATGTCTAAGTGGTGTACCAGGTCGCTAACCACCTCTTCATGGATTATGGGGGCTTCACTGTGCTTTCCATCCCTGTCTTCCTGCTCAGGGTACTGGGTACCCAGAGTACTACTGGTTTTCCTACTAAAGACTGAGGGAAAGAAGGCATTAAGAACCTCAGCCTTTTCCTTGTCCCTGGTCACTATGTTTCCCCCCTCTATCTCATAACGGATGGAGATCCTCCTTTTTTTTGCTAATGAAGTAGAACTGCAATCTGGAGACCAGCCAGAGTGGTGCTTACTGCTCTGTAGAAGGTTTTGCTATTCCTGTGGGTGTCTCTGTGTGATACTGCTGTGCAGTATAGATGTAGTCTGAAACTTCAGCAGGCACTGCATTCAGATGTGGACGTTTGGAGGTGTACCAGAGCCCAAAAGAGTTAGACTGTGAGGAGACTGCCTGCCTTCCCTGTTCTCCTGCATAGTCTGTACCTGGAAAAGAGAGTGCAAGTAGCAAAAGGAAGAGGATGACTTCCAGTCCTCTGGAACCAGAGAGTAAACAAGACTTACTTAAAAAAGCCCAAACAATGTTTCAAGTGCTGATCAGTTAAGCCTCTTCATGGTGTTCTGTCTCACAGGAGTCATGCAACAAGACAGAGATTCATACTCCATTGATTTTTATTTTAGGCAACAGTTTATGACTAAGTTTTATGTCAGTTCAGTAAAGATAAATTTTATCTTTTATTGCCAGTTATTACACATCTCAGAGAATCGTTACAGTGATTATAAAAATGCCTATTTTCCCTTCCTTCTTCCTTTGTTTTGTAAATATAGTAGCTCATTTTTATGACTAACACTAAAGATTTGTTTCCTTTGACTGATACCTCAGTATAGCAGCATCAAAGTTTCAGTTTCATATAAACATTAGGAAAAAAAGAACAAATTCTGAGTTCCTGGTAATGCTTCATGCCTAGTTTCCTCTTGCTATGGTGTCTTTAATAGATTGCCAAACTATGGTTAATCATTTAAGAAGTCTGTAATGACTGTTTTTTGTTGACTGCATATAATGTATTTCCTCGGTAATTAAGAATTATTTCGGTGCATTCTACTGCTTTAAATAATTTCCATTGTAATATATAATAAAAAGACATACAATTTGTTATAGGCTAATATTTACTTTTAAATGACAGTAGAATAAAAATGTGTATTTTTTGCCCATCACCATATTTAAGATCTTATTTTGTTTTGTTAATTTTAGAAACCATCTGCAAGGATAAAGCTTGGCTCACCCAATTCTGTCACTGTAACAATCTTATCAAATGACAATGCCTTTGGAATAATTTCTTTTAACATGGTATGGCTTTTTCTATGGTATATGTGAAAACTTTAGAAAGCATAAAGGTGAAATTTTCAAAGATGCTGGTTAGTTATTCAACTGAATCCCTTGAAAACTGAGTCTGAGTTACACCTCTGAAAACATCTCTAGAGGTAATTCATACATATGTATGTAATTCATACATATATACAGCTTTAATACTTGTATATGTTTTTGGGTGTTGAGATGTAACCTGGAACCCTCACACTTTTATGAATATCTGTGTTGCTCATCTCAAATATGAAACTTGTGAGAAGTTGATCAGTCTCAGTGCCCCTCATCTGTAAATAAAAGCGTTAATATAGTAAGGAAGAAGTGAGGAGTACTACCATGGGGAAATTCAAGATGTGATTTGAAAACATAAATTTTCCCATCTTTAGTGAGCAGATTTATACTTGATTCTCCAGCTGAGAGAACAGTGTCATGATGTATACATTGTACAACACATTCTGTGATGAGACACTGGTGTGACTGCAGTGGTGTGGAGGATACTTGCATTAATGCAGAGGTTGTGTTGGTAGAAAGAGAAGCTTTATTGCCTTATTGCCAGCATTGTGGCACTATAATTTGTGTACAGGATTTCCTTGAAAAAGCACAAGAACACGAGTAATGTTTAGCACCGCAGTCTTAGGCCATGCTGCTCCCTGAATTAGTGTGATTCTTTGAGACCTTTCACTTACAGCAGTTTGGTAGACAGAGTCCATTTATAGCTAGTTATCTAAGAAATGACTTTTTAATGGAGCAGATCTAGTTTTAACAGGGTTTGGAGCTCCTATAAATGCCAGTGCTTTGTGTATAATGACTACGTTAATTTGTAAAAACGTCCCCACTCTACTTACATAGCTTATGATAATTTTTTTTATCTGAAATCTTCCAGGCTTTTTATTAGCTGAACTAATTGGTTGCTAGGAAGTGTGTGCCATCAGTGGACTGGTTTGCAGATTGGATTAACTTGTCTGTGGGAGCTTGGTATTTCTATGGCAACAGTTTCTTCCTTCTGCTGTGATATTTGATCTGTGCCTGATTGCCTGTCCCTTTTCTTCCTCATTAGTCTGCCTTAATCACAGTGAATGAGCCCAGGGGCAGAAATGAATTTGTGCCTCTCACTCTAATTAGAGAGAGGGGAACCTACGGGACGGTCATCGTAACTTTTGAGGTGAGTTTATCAAAAAAAGGCTTTATACCTTAGTCTGTTATGTGAAACTGTGAGGTGGTAATCATAACTTATCAAAGTGCTCACAAAAGTGAAAGGGGGGAGGAGAAATACCTCTGTCTACATTAGTTAAATCTGTTTTATAAAATGGAAAGATATTACCTCTCAAATTGAATATATTGCAATTACCTGACTGTTTAATTTGGGGAAAAAATTAAGATATATTAGAGGAAACAGAGTATTCTCTGTAATTTGGGAAGATATTTGAGTCAGCATTAGTTGGTATTACTAGAAATGAGTAATGTAAAGTGAGACCTCAGTATTCAGTGAAATTCTGTATCTGTAAGACTGCAGTCTGAATCCACAGAAACTAAACCACTCATGTTGAATATTTAGGTGGTTATTTTTGTACTTGATTTGAATGTGATACAGTTATTGCCTTTATTTTTTTGTTTGTTTGTTTCTTTCTTTTTTCTTATCTAGCTCTGATTCTATTACATACTTGAAAATTATATATAAATTCTTTCGTAGAGATGTTTCTTTACCTGTTTTCTGCTTTTGTACATCTTCAAGGGTTAAACCTAGACCTGCCAAAATCTGAAAAGATTTGTACTAGATTATATTACATACTAAATATAACAAGTATAGTTGAAGTACAGAATGAGATTATCTGTGTAATTTATTGCAGAACTATTTGTTTTAAGGTCCAATAAATTTTGCTATCTGCACAGTTAATCAGGCCCATCTCACAGTAGTTTACTTACATATGTTGAAAAAAATTTACAAGATTTTCTTAATAAAAAACAAATAAAATAAATTAAAAAGTCACCATGCCTCTAAGTGGCTTCCCAGTCACTTATGTTTCACTATTAAATGTAGTATCTTTAATATCACAAATCAAAATAGAAAGGAGACAAAACCAGCAGCTGCAATTACTTTGTCTTGGAACTTACTATGAAGTACTAGTGATTTAAATTAAAATAGAGTGAATATCCTTTCTGTTATGTGAAAGGGCCATAAAGTGGCAGATTTTCACAACTGAATGTGTGTGCCTGTGAGCAGGAGATGACTGAAGGTCATTTGCTATGTGTGTTACACACTGTATATTGATTATTGTACTTGTGCTAGATTTGTATTCTTCTTTTATGCATTTCTTATTGTAAAAATAAACTCATTGCAGATAGAAGATGGACCAAACCCGGCTGAAGAAGACTTCAGTCCAGCTAGGGGAAATATTACATTTGCCCCTGGGAGATCAATGTTGATTTATAATTTAACAGTGCTTGATGATCAGGTAGGAACAAGCTGACGTCATTTTTAGGTTGGATATTTAGAAGGTTAACTGCTGTTCTGGAGAGACTTAGAAGTTACAAAAATGCTTCGTTTAAATGAGGTTAAAACTGCTTCTACTTAAAGTGATGGTAAATTTTGGCTCTACAAGCTCTCATTTTTACTCCTCCTAATGCTACCTCTGTAACTCTCTTAAGTGAATATTTTTAATTTCTGAACATATCCTGGCCACTCTGACTAGACCTGTTAGGTGCCACTGCAGTAGATATATAAATAACCAGGAAAGCATTATACTTTCTTTTCAGATTAAGTACTGAGGTCTTTATTTATGGCCAAGGACGATGTTCATGAGCTAGATATAGGTTTACCTAATAGACTGTCTTTTTGTGTATTTAAATCTTCTGTATTTCTTTTAAAATATGCTCTGCTTTTCCCTAATTGTCCACCCTGCAGACTCAGGGTATGTTTGCTTAATGAACTCAGTCTGTCCTTTTTTCTTTAGTAGTTGTTTAGGCAAAAGGAACCCAATCATAACATTGCTTATTTGATGCATTTTTTATTACATCCTCAGTGATGCTTGTGCAGCTCCTCTGCCTTCAGTTAACAGTGCATGAGAACACGGTTTATTCTTCATTAAACTGATTGACTCTCACTTGTGTGAAGAGCAGACGTGTTATGTTTGTCACTAAAGAAAGAATATAACACAGTTATTATTCACAGGGAAAAGACAGATTGAAAAAATGGTTTTATATAGATATGTTTCAAGTTAGAAACATACTTAAAAAATTACTAAAAATAGATAAGATTCCTAAAAGAAGACAGGCAGTCTTGTGAAGGACATAAGCACTAGGTGATGCTTACTAATACAGACTTTTAGTTTGGTCTTTGAAAAAAGTGTGTTTGTATGAGTCTTTCTTTCTATTTCAGAGTAAACAAAACATATTCTTCTACTTTTAAATTTGTAATTTTCATTTTTCTTAAACTTTTCTGGTTTTGATTTGTTTTTATATTTTTTTTTTTATTTATTTATTTACAATGGGGATGAGAGGGAAAACAGAGGCACCAAAATAAGTAAATATGATACAGAACAGCTTAAAAATGAAATTCATGAGAAAAAATTAATAGCAAAAAAGTGCCTCTTCCAGCAGTGAGCAACTTTAAAGCAATTTTTTTCCATATTTTTGTTAGTTATAAGGAGTGTTTTCCCACATATATACTGGTATTTTTAATGTTAAGGGACCATGCCAGGCTGGTGTGTGGCAACATCTCTTTCAGATTAGATGCAGTATTTCTGTGAGTTACACACAGAAAGAAGTCGTTAGGCTGTTTGGAAGGATGTGATTTTTATTTTCCTCTGAAAAATGCTTTCAAAGTTTGATCTGTACAGGTGTGGCTGGTCTGCTCAGTGAAAGTCTTCCACAGACCTACATGAAAGGGTAATTTTGCATAAAAAACCGTTACCGATGATGATGATGATGATGGAATTCACAAGAATCCAGTGTACTCTCAGAACTTAGGATCTGAAGTTAGGAAAAACAAAACTAGTGTTTTTCTGAATTGAGTGGCCCTTTTTGTACAGAAATGAGGGGGCTGCAGATCGAATCACCACAGCACTACATTTATAGCAATTTTATTGTATACATTTCCTTTTTTAGTGAGGAATAATGGAAACTTTGTTAAGAGAAAATGAAAGAGGGGAGACAGCACTAGAAATCCTTTATACTGTTGTCTTTGAAGTTGGACTTGTTTTTTTATCGGTCAGTCACGATGCCATTAAGAACTCCAGAATTTCCCATTTATATGAGATACTAAGTTGTAAACTGAAACTACAATTGTGGACACATTTTGACTGTCTCTTAACTGTATATTTTAATGGTGCAAGATGATATAAGAATTACTGAACTGAAAGAAACATAAGTTAACATCTACTCTAATAAGGTAAAATAACTGCATTGTATCTCAGTATTGGAGAGGTGACTGAGAGTTTCCAGAACTCACGCTGACAAAAAGCCCCTGCATTAGTCAACGGCATTATGCAAGTTTAAGTGCCACAAGCCAAACACAAGAGACAGAATTGGCACCAGCTACAAAGGCAGTTGCATGCCCACTCTCTTAGGCCTAGAAAAGGATCCGAGGGTGGCCAATTAACAAATGAGTGTGAAAGAGAAGAAATATTGGACAGCAGGGTTTTCCAGAGCTTTTTTATCTCGGTAAACAGAAGTGCATGAAAAAGATTTGTCAACTTTATAACAGAGTATTACCGTTAGCTAAAAATAATCCAAAGCCTAATTAATTGCTAAGCACCAGAAAAATTTTTTTCATATCTGTGACAGAAGTTTTCTTTGGAAATAGGGGTGTGTCTGAAGTGTTCCTTCCCCATGGTATAGGAATAGATGGCCCCAGGTATGTTGTGACTGTGAGCTGTTCCTGTGTTCTCGCAGGCATGCACAGAGGTAAATCAGTATTGACATCAGAAAACCGAGATGTAAATCTCCATAACTGGGAGATATATTTGTTTCCAAATACAGGTGGCCGCCAGAAGTAGAGTTAGGATCTCATCATCATCTCAAATTGGAAAGATCCAGCTGTTTATGATTCTTGCCTGGTTTTTATTTTGCTTTTGTTTGGCTTTCCATCCTTCTTCATATTACAAGAGCACAGGAGTATGTTTTAGAAAATGGAAAGATTCAATTTTGAGAAGGGATTTTCAGCCAAGGTTAAAAGCAAGACTTCTCTCCTGTTTTTTTTTAATGTGAAATGAGCTGTCAAGTTTGTGTTATTTCCCTTTTCTGCAAAATATAGAAAACATATTTCTCAGTAAGGGATCTGCATGTATTTGAAATGTGACTTACACCTGATTGCTAATATTATTTTTGCAGGTACCTGAAAATGATGAATTGTTTGTTGTTCGTCTGAAGAGCGTGGAGGGAGGGGCTGAAATCAACAACACAAAAAATTCTGTTCAGATTAACATTAAGAAAAATGACAGTCCCGTGCGTTTTGTTCAGAGTGCCTATATGGTGCCTGAGGAAGTTGATGTGGTGACAATTCAAGTGGTGCGTGGTAAGGATGTCAGTGGAAAATTAATTGGACCTGATGAACATGAAGTCACTGTGAGTTACGCCATCATTACTGGGGATTCAACAGCACATGCACAGCTTAATGTAGACTTCCTAGATCTACAGCCAAATACAACTATCGTTTTCCCACCTTTAGTTCATGAAACGTATATAAAATTTAAGATCCTTGATGATGCCATACCGGAAATTGCCGAGACTTTTCAGATTGTGCTTCTTAAGGACACTTTGCAAGGAGATGCTGTTTTGGTTAATCCATCTGTTGTTCACGTCACCATCCAACCGAATGATAAACCCTATGGAGTACTATCAATCAACAGTATCCTGTTCGCTCGGACTCTTATCATTGATGAAGACCAAATTTCAAGGTACTACAGATGTTCAAATCTGGTATCTGATCAGTTGAAGAGATTTGTCTGGCACTGTTAAGCATCTTTAGGATTGAAAGCAGTTATAAAATCACTACTGAAAATGTAATGTAGAAATCACTTAGCGTGTCGTTATTATCAACTACGTCTGCAAAGATTTCAAGGAAGTGGGAATATCTAATTATATATGAAGTATTTTAGTGTTTGTGAACTGTATGTAAAAACTCTAAATATTTAGCTAAGTTATCAGAATACTGAAAAACCCCTTAATCAATGAAGTCGTGATCCTACCACATGCTGCTCCATACAAGAGGGAAAGA